GCTACCAGAGGAAAAAGGTAACCAATCACACCCAGCCGTGAGCTCTGGGAATGACAATAATAACCAGGGTCAGCAAGAGGTGCTTGTCAGTACAACAGTGGATGAGTATCATGGAGTAACCAATTACATTCCTACAGTGTGTGAGATGCCAAGCCCAAGCCAGAACAAATCCCAACATGGAAAGAGAAATGAGGCACACAATCCCACCTTTGGTAATTGTTAACTACAGGAAAAGGAGTTGGTTTTCTCTAAGACTGTAGCCCCTGGTAAGCTGACCAGGCGCTAGTAGAGGACCACAAATCTAAGAATTCTAAGGCTGCACAAACTAGTCTTGGAAAAAAATTTTTTTTAAAAAGATACCCCAAAATTGGGTGGATTAGGAAAGGTGGGGGATAGATCTGGAAAGAGTTGGGATGCAATGCAATGCACTGTATGAAACTTGAATCTCTCAAAGAACTTGAAACAAAACAGAACAAAAAATTCTTGGTCTTAGTTTCAAAGAATTGTTTCCACTCCAGTTTACTCCTCAGGTGAGCGATACAATTTATAAGGAGGCAAATTCACCACAGCCTCTTAAAAAAAAGACTGATACTGTTCATCTCCCCCCACCCCCGTGTGTGTGTGCGTGTGCGTGTGTGTAGGACAGAGGTCAATACCAGGTGCCATTCTGAGACCACTTCTTTACCTTAGATATTTGAGATAAGGTGTCTCAATGAACTCTGGGCTTATTGATTCAGCAGACTAACAGGCTAGTGAGCCCCTGGGACCCTCCTATCTCTATTTCTCAGTCCTAAGATTAGAGGTGCATATTGACCTAGCTCCAAAGCCCAGAACAGTTTTTTATTTAAAAAAATAAAATAAAATTACATCTTTTGCTGGGCATAGAGACACATGTCTGTAGTAACAGCACTTGGGAAGAAGGAGCAGGTAGTTCAAGGCAGCCTTGACTACCAAATGAATTCAAGACCAGCCAGAGATCTAAGTGATCTTGTCTAATAAAACAATGAGAACAAAAAAAATTATAGTCTTTGGTTTGCTAGTGAAATAGGTACAGATCATAATTATAGAAACAAAAGAGTCAGGTGGTAATAGTAGACGCCTTTCATCCCAGCACTTGGGAGGCAGAGGCAGGTGGCTCTCTTGAGTTCAAGGCCACCCTGGTCTACAGAGTGAGTTCCAGGACAGCCAGGGCTATACAGAGAAACCCTGTCTACAACAACAATGACAACAAACCAAACCAAAAGACCCCCAAACCCTTCCTCTTGACCCTCCCTCAAAAAGAAAAAAAAAAAGCTTGTGTGTGTGTATATATGAATGTCCCTACAACTTAATATAATGTAAATGTATCTATAAATTAATTCCTTAAATGTTAATTCAAACAGGAGACAGTGTATAAAACTCACAAGGCTTTAAATTCAAATATAATTTAAGATCACACAACAAACATGCATCCAGAGTTAATGTTAAGATTAACATATTCTCAATTAAGCACTGACTGCAAACCAGTTGGTTCACCACAGGGCAGCAAACTACCCAGAAAACAAGAGAACAGTGGAACAGTGGTCTAACAGAACAAGTCACATGGAAACAAGGGACTCAACAGTGTAGCAGATGACCCCTGCATTGCTTGTGGTGCCCATGACAAATTTACATGCAAAACTGAGAAGAACCATCCAGAGTCCCATGGAAAGATCCATTAACAGAGAAAACTTGAATATTTTAACATATCCTTTAGAATAATGTTGAAGTAGGTAAGACTACTGTTACACCTATTTACAGATCAGGAAAGAAAAGGTTTGTATCAGCTAGTAAGGGGCAAGGCTTGGATTTAACACCCTAACTACGTCATAATCACTATGTTACTGTGTTTGTATCTACGGCCTGTTAAATGGAGCAGAGTTACAGAGCTCCATGCAGTTTAATTACTGTTTTATATATATATATATATACATTATGCACACAGAATACCACTTCAAACATCAAATATCTGTAGATATGAAACTGAATATTACACTAATATAAAACATGTCGATGCTTATCCTTCAAGGAGGGGTGTGGGGAAAATGAGTGGGTTTGATCTTCCTTTCCTCAAAACCTAATCCTCCTCTTTACTAATAACCTTCCACAATGCTTCCTGTCCAGCGTGGTGCACATCAGGTACAGGAGCACCCATCTTACAATTTTTAATGGCTTCAGATCATTCAACTTTATATGGTGTGAGAGTGATGCACTCAGAATACATTGTGCTGTGACTGTTAACATATTCTTAGGCTAGTGACAAGTATAAGATAATCTCTTGTTATTTGGGTAGCTGCAGCAGCAAGACACAGATTTGAAGGCATCTGATCCCCAAAGTAGGGAGTCAGTCCTATGTTACCCTAAGTTACACTGAGAAGAAACCTTGTGTCAGATAATTTTGTCCAGCTAAAATTGAATAATGTTAAGTAATCTAAGCAAGTTATAAGTTAGGCTATTTTTGTTTTAGGTATGTAGGACTGATCCTAGGACCTCATGCAGGTACTCCACCACTGAGATGTAACCCCAGTATTTTCACTTTCTATTCTGAGATCATCTTAAATGGCTGAGGTAAGTCCTGAATTTGCACTTCTCATACTTCAGTCTCTTAAATATCTGGTATTATAAGCATGCACCACCATGCCTGACATCTAGGTGTAACTTATGATTATTATTTTCAAAAGACATGGGTTTAGCTAGGCATAGTGGTACACACCTTTAATTCCAGCACTGGGGAGGCCAGAGACAGAAGCAGGTGAAATCTCTGAGAGTTTGAGGTCAGAAACAGTCTACATAGTGAGTTCCAGGACAGTCAGAGCTATATAGTGAGAGCAGTCTCGGGAAAACAAAAACAAAAACAAAAACAAAAGACATGAGTTTATTGGAATGTAACCCCATCACAAATTTAAGAGCATTTGTGTATGCATTTATAGTTTTTCCTTCTGGAGAGACCATTTTTTAAAAAAAGCACACAAAAATTAGTAAAACTTAAAATGTAGCACTGGTTTGCAAATTATTCAATGAACTCAAAGAAAATATTAAAATTTCAGTTAAATTAATAATATTTAAATTTCTATCCTATAGCCAGGCAGTGGTGGTGCACACCTTTAATCCCAGCACTTGGGAGGCAGAGGCAGGCAGATTTCTGAGTTCCAGGCCAGCCTGGTCTACAGAGTGAGTTCCAGGACAGCCAGGGCTACACAGAGGAACCCTGTCTCAAAAAACCAAAAAAATAAATAAAATAAAATAAAATAAAATTCTATCCTATCATCCTTAAATTACTGTGTGTTAATACCATTTATACATAAGATACATCTACTCAGTGTACATACACTGAAATGAGCACAGATATTGCACACTTAAAATATGATCAATGATTTAAGGATGGGGTGAAGGAAAGAGTCGTAATAGGTATGGCTTTAACAACCCCCAAAAAGTAGAAGATATATGGACAAATACTGGCTGCAGACATCACACAAAAAGCCTCAAATGAACTTCCTGAAGACAGACTTCAAATGTAATAATGATTCAGTTTTCATACATCTGATGGAGAAAAGGAATTTGAGGGAGGGGATGAGAATGAAGATGTAGAAGTAGAAAGGAGACATACGACACACAAGAGTCGAGGTAGAACAGAGTACCAGAGGGGAGTGAGGGGAGGCAGGTGATGAGACCCGTGAAGACACTGATGGTTGATGGTCTGAGAGTGGAACAAGGACCACCAGGGGTTCTGAGTGGAGAAGTCAGGTTTCTGTTCAAAAGAGTAAAAAATTATCTAATTTTAATATTTTAAAAATGTAAAGAGAACGAGAAAGAAGGCCATTGTCCCAATAATCTAGAGGAGTGGCTTAGACTAGATCACAGTGGCTTAGACTAGAAGGATAGTTGCAGAGGTAAGAAATAATGGTGAATTCTCCATACTCTAAAGACAGAGACCAAAACAAAACTGTTTCCTGGACACGTCAGGAAAGCTGCACTCGTGAACTCATAGTGCTGCTGTGGCTGACTGCACAGGATTAATACCATTCCTGAATGGTGACTGTATGAATCTTGTGCAGTCAATACTGATACTCTATGGTACAAGATGCAGCTAAGCTATGAAGGCAGAGAAAGTATTTAAATGTATTTTTAACTTGATTCCACTTTACAATGGCTTTATTGAGAGCAACACAACCACGGGTCAGGGACACCTGTTAAAGTGTAAAACAAGCAAAGTACAAACCAGAGAGCTGGGCATGGTGATACCCGCCTGTGGTCTTAGCACTCAGAGGGCAGTGAAAAGTAAGACCATAGCCAGACTCAAGCTCAAGCCAAGGCTACACAGCCACTTCAATTCCAATGTGAAATTGTGAAACTTTGTTTCAAAAACAAAATCCAAAGAAAGCAAAACCACTTGACAGACAATAAAAACAAGAGTAAATTTTACAAAAAATATTTCCCCCCACAGAAGAGAACAGATTTTCAAGTAAATGATGTATCTATAGATATATACTACCCATCCCCAAAATGATTAATGTGACTGACTAGCATTTAGGCCTGACATAGTGAAATTTTAGAAACTAATAGTATAGGAAACAAACAAACAAATTAAAACTGTTCTAGGGAGAGGATAAGCCCAGATCATTTGCCAAATTACTCTAGCCAGATCAGCTTGGGGAAGAGTGAGATGCTGTAGTAAGTAGGCAACCTAAGAGAAGAAAACAGGTAAATAAAAGCTATGTAAGAACAAGGGGAAAATGTTTTCTAAAAGCACTGGAGGTGGGGTGAGGCAAGAGAGGTGGCTCAACAGCTAAGAGGACTTGTTGCTTAGACTAGAGATCAGTTCTCAGCATCCACATGGCAGCGTACAGTTGTTCATATAACTCATTCTTTGAGTCCCCCATTCATCACTTTCTTTATAGTACAACAAGTATCCATTAAGACTTATCTGAAAAGTATTTAGTATCCCATGGGTAAAGTATAAGAGTGAAATGGTTAACTCTTACCTTGAATTTTTTCTGTATTATCTCCATTTGCTTCCTCTTCTTTAACAGGGGGACTTATTCTGGGGGCCCTGTTTTGCCCCTGGACCATTTCTGCTAGCAATTCTTCTTGAGAAGTTCGAGTTCTGGGAGCAACTGGAAGTGTCTGTTTCTGTGGAGCTTTACATGAAAGTAAAAGAAGGAAAATACACCCATGGGTACAACTTCATAACTCCATGATTACTATCATATGTTAAATACAAATTCCATCCTTGGGTTCAGAACAGTTAAGTTATTCAAAACAGAAGAACTACAGTTTTTCTTTACAGTATTCCCAAGAAAGACATTCAACTTATTTGCCTTACTTGTGTATAAGCAGCCTCTAAAGCTTGAATCTCAGCACTCAGGAGGTTAACACAATAGGACTGCAGTAAGTTATGGGTCAGACTGGACTACATAGTGACAGCTTGTTTCAAAAACCCAAAACAAAACAAACCAACAAAGGTGCATGCACACATGCACACTACGGAATAATATGTGTGTATACATATCATGTATAAAATAACCAGATGCAGTGATCCATGCTCTCCCAGTGATTCAAACTATAACTTAAGCAGGCAAAGAATGAATGGTTCAAATGCTATTTTTAAAAAATTCTTTTGTGTAGACCAAGCTGGTCTCAAGTTTACTACTAAGTTCAAAATGATCTTAATCTCTTGCCTCTATGTCCCGAGTGCTAGGATTACAGGCATATAGAGCCAGGCTCAATGTTATTTCTTGAGATATGGGAATCTCTAAGTACTTTTTAAAATTTCTTTTGAGAACTATGTGTTTTGCCCACATGCATGCATGTGTTCCATGTATATGTCTGGCATCTGTGGAGGTCAGAAGTGTGTTGGATCCCTGTGAACTGGGACTGAACCCAGGTTCTCTGGAAGAACAGCTAGTGCTCTTTCTTAACCTGCTGGGCCATCTCTCCAGCCCAATACTCTACTTTTGAACTAGTTGAAGGCAGTTACTAAGAGCACTGGGTGTGACCTAGGAAACACTGGGAGCAATAAACTGATGTTATAGAGGGCCTACTAAACGTGCTTGGGAGATAAGTTATACCAAGAATTTACTCAAGGAATGACACTGACATAACTCAAGAGTCATTATTACTAGTTAACCAAGGTTGTTAGAAACTGTAGAAAGGACAGTTTTATATAGCTCTAACATAATTAAAATTCAGACTTGCTAAGAAAATGTTTCTATCACAATTTTTTCACTAAGAGTGGGGGTGTGGTGGTGCACACCTTTAATCTCAGCACTTGGGAGGCAGATAGGAAGATGATCTCTTGGAGTTTGAGGCCAGCCTAGTCTACACAGTGATCTCCAGGACAACCAAAGCTACAAAGTAAGAATATGTTTCAAACAAAACAAACAGAACAACCTCCAACTCCCACCCCAGAGATTTCTTCACTAATATGCTGCCAATTAGGCTTTGTTTCCACAACAAAAAGAGACAGTACTGATTTACCACCTACAGGTAGAACCATCCCCACAGCAAAGAGGCAAAGAACAGGTTTCTATAGGCAGCTCTTAACAGGAAAGCACTGGGTAACAGCCAGTCTTTTCCTGGTTCTGCCATCAAGTCCTGGTTCTCTTCCCAGGAAGCTTAATCCTACCTCAGTAACTACGAGTAATGGGGGCACACACACGACCCCGATAGACTTAAGCAACTGTGACAATATGTTTGCTGTGTAAATCTCTCATTTGTCCAAATGGCCAGACTTGTAGCATCCTGTCTCTAAACTGTTCAAAAATGAGACTTGAAGCCAGGCCCCCAAATGATTTATGGATGAGCACATGTACAGAATGTAGAGCCTAAGAGCACAGCTACAAAGCTGGTAAACGTCTCTGTTCATGGCTAGTTCCCTTTTGTGCATCAGCCAGAACCAATAAAGATATCCTTTATTAATTTGGGAGTACTTGAAATGACTTCTCAGTGGGAAGGCATATTAATTCTGTAACAGCTGTTTTTCTAGAGGACTAGGGTTCTAGTCTACATGGTGAGTCATAACCATCAGTAGCTCCAATTCCAGGGGATCCAATGCTCTTTTCTGCCCTCCATGAAAGCAAAAAAACTCATAAACATAAAACTAAAAAAAAAAAAGTATTTCAAGGTCATGGAAATCCTTTAAAATTCTTATTCTAAGCAGTATCACTGCTGTATTAAAAGAGTGAGTATAGAGAGGTACCTGTTAGAGCAGGTGCAGGCTTTCACCTGATCACCTTTTTTCTGTATGTCACAATCTACTGAATGGCAGATATTCAAGGTTAAGTGAGAGATGAGAAGGTAGATGAGTACCAAAAATTGTTGACTTCAATTCAAGAAACCGTGACGTGTGACAAAGGGCAAGCAGAAGAATGCTGTGAGGACATCTACCAAATTCATAGTAAAAACTTAAAGATAATTTCAGAGTTGATAATTTCTATCAGCTTAGTACCACAAAATTTTACACTGGCTCCAGCAAATGAAAAGGTGCACAACATGTAGCAGCAACACAAAACACTCACCATTTGCAGTTTAGAATGAGCATTCTATAAAAAAAAATTTGTTATAAAAACATGACACCTCAATATTTGACATCAAATGATTTTAGAGTTTCTATTTTAATTAGGGTAAGAGCATAACCATTTTCTGCCTGGCATTCTATTACCAGGTCCCACCAAAGGAAGAGACTGGTGTATCATATAGTAGTTTAAACGAATGTCTTTCTTGGGTCCAGGGATGTGATTCAGTGGAACAGGGTTTTCAAAGCATGTATAAGGCCATGAGTTCAATCTGCCAGCACAGCAAAAAAGTAAATAAAGATTTATCTACCTTAGGAACTGTTATTATCCAATTTTTTTCCTTTTATACATAAGTCCATATACAATATTGTATTAAATGGTATTAATATGAAGTCTCATATTTTTCAAAAATCCCCTTTATAATTTGTGGGTAGTATCAAGTTTATACATGCCAGAATGTACTATGCTCAAAGAACTCCTATGACAAGTTTCTCAAACTGGTGAAATCTTTTAAAACCATGCTTCTAGAAGAATTTGATTCTGGTTTTGGTATCTAATAGGAACCTTTACTTTACACATTAAGCATGCTCAACTTAAAGAAGCAATCTCTTACCAGTACAAACATACTACATTGAAATTACCTGCAGAATAGTTAGTTGTTTTTGTTACAGACTCTTGAGCTTCAGAGATAGCCTTCAAAATTAGATTCTTGTTAGCTTGTTTAGAAGGTGGAAGAGAAGGTCTAAAAGAGTTTTAAGAAAAGGTGTTTTTATAATGTTTTAAATTTCAGTTGTTTACATGCTAACTATCTACTATACTGTTACTACATAGCCTGTTTTAAACATAGCAGTTATAGTTTTTAGAACATGTCAATTAGACTGGAACCCTACAGCTTTTTAAAAGATGACTCTGTATTAACACTTTTTCCCTCATTAATTTCTAGTAGTCTTTGCAATTCTCTCCAAGTTTAAGCAAGCCCTCCTCCGTTAGGTGATGCTGTCAGACAGCTTAGGACCAGAGCCCTTATCTACCAGTAGCAAGCACAGCCCCCAGGTTTCTTCCCCAGCACAATCAAAGAAACAATCCAACAAAACCCTGCAGCTGCACAAGCAGTTTAGGACTGATTTACAGCTATGGTCACATACCTCCTCTCAGGCTTTGCTGGTACTGACACGCTGCTGGACAAGCTTCCTATCCGGGTCCCATAATCCTCATCATCTTCCTCCTCTTCTCCATCATGGCTAAATCTTTTTACTTTAACAACTGAACTTACCACAGGCAACTTTCTCTTCCGAAAGTTTTCATCCTACAATGAGATAAATTTAAGCTTACCTTGCATTGAAAACGAAGTTCTACCACAAAAATATTTGTTTTCACTTTAAGATGATCTTAGTAACTGAAAGGACTGGCTTTCTTATAAAAAATGAAAATGTCTCCTCAAATAGCTAACTCAAAAGAACTTTAAATTTATTTTATAACAGTAGCACACAGAACTGTTACGGAAAATATTAAAAGGGAGTTACGTGGTTGCTTAAAGCTAAAACCGACACATCTACATAGACACAAAAAAGAAAAGCTAACTCAAAATGCCAAAATCACAAGGCACACGTGCATGACCTAAAAACCCCTTTAGAGAGCCAGCCCAAGAGGACACTGTTTAAGCCAAACACGCAATGTGTTTAGTTACGTAAGTTATATTTGGAATTTACAACTGCCACTCTAGCCTATCGAGCCAGAATCTATATACATCTATACAAACCTCAATACTCATTTTATCCAAGTTGTTTCTGAAGAAGGGGCTATAAGTGTCTTCTACGCTGCTAAGCACTTCTGGGTCACACAACCGTCCTGCTTCATATACCTGACTGCTCTGTATATCCAGCTGCTTGGCAGAGTGAGCACTGCTTTGCTGCTGATGAAGTTGCAGCCTGTTTAAGTGAGTACCAGTGTCTGCATTTCTACTTGCAGGTGGTCGATAAATTTCAATAGAAGGGCGAGAAGAACCATATGTAAGTGTCACTGTAGGTTTTTTCTGAGATAAGGGATTCTCCTGGACAAAATTGAGGTCTTCATCAATGAGATCATCTGGTTCTGGCTTGATATCAATCACATCTTCAGAGGGTGCTGGCTCCCTCAGAGGTTTCACTGTTGACATTAGCCGGGTGGAAGCTCCATCATCATATGAATGTCTATAAATAAAGAAAAACACAGCATTATCCGGTAATCTTCAAAGAATGTTTATTCAAAAAAATTTAAATGAGGAAGTACGGAGACTTTTTAAATATTCACTACTTTCAAATTAGTTATTCTTTTCTGCTTTTCCAGAGGATTTGAGTTTGAGTCCCAGCATCCAAATGGTGACGCACAACCATCTGTAACTCCAGCACCAAGGGATCCCTTATGCCTTCTTCTGGCCTCTAGAGGCACCAGATATGCACAAGGTCCACACACATACAGGCAAAACATCTATACACTTTAATATATATATATATGTGTGTGTGTGTGTGTGTGTGTGTGCGTGTGTATGTTCCGTACAGGTTCATGGATTGAATACTTGATCCCTACTTCACTATGCTAAGACTATGGATTCTTCTAGGAGGTAGAGCCCAACTGGCCGACACAGGCCACTAGTGTCTAGGAATAGACCACTGCTGATAATATCCAACCTAGGCTCTGGTTCAGTTTTTCTGCTCCTTCATCCACGACAATGTTAGGAATCTCTTTCATAAGGTTTTGCTACCGTGAACTCTATCTATCTAGTCTGCTGCTATAAACTTAGAGCCCACTGAACACTGAGCCAAAAACAAGTTCCTCCTCCTCTTCCAAGATGTTCTGTCAGACATTTTGTAATAACAACATATGACAAGGAATATCTAGTCCACGATTACTTCACTATTTCCAAAAATTGCTGAAAATAGGAACTAACAGACATAATAATTAACGTAAGTGTAACATCCAACACACCCATCTGGTCGTAGTAGATACTGGACTTTTACCTGACATTAGTGGATTTCTGCTCCTGTGAACTTGTAGAAACTCTGGAATCCCTTTTTTCAGGTCTAGAGCTAGAAACAGCAAGGGGAGGGACAGCAGCTTCGTGCCTTCTCTCATCTCCCCGACTAAAACTGTTCTTGTTTGAAGGCACGTTACTATCAAAGATGCTGGTATCAGGAGACTTTAGACTAGAGGGCTCTGCAAAGAGAACACATGGTCCTGGTAATCCTTTCTTTATCCTGCCTTCCCTCATCAATTAAAAAAAACAGTACATTTAATACAGAAAATACTTTCTTTTAATTAATAACTTAAAAGTTTGTCTTAAAAAAAAAAAAAAGCAAAAACTAGTCTCATGAAGCCCAGGCTGACCGGATAGACTAGAAAGGATGGCCTTGAACTCCTGGCTCCACCTCTGGAGTATTGGGATTCTGGGCAAGTACCACTTTCTGAAGTGTTTTCAGTGGTAGGGACTAAACCTGGGGCTTCTTGCATGCTAGGCAAGCACTCTACCAATTGAGTTATCTCTCTAGCTCCTCAAGTGGGACAGTTTAAAAGCAGAGCTGGAGTTTAAGAGACTTTAAAGTAGATTTTTAAGCACTAGGGGTTAAAGGCACCTGAGAATATGGGCACTTATGTTTTAAATTCCAGGAGACTCTTGTGTGAGTTCCCATCTCATTTCACACTGCTTTTAGTAGCTGAATTCTTACACATCCTAATAGTCTGTGTGGTTTATCATCACCAGACATTCAGACACTTTTCAATGATAAAGCAGTGAGGTACTTTTAAGACTAAAGCCCGTACACATTCGTGATTACTTCCTTCAGACACACGGCCCTGTCTTGCTCATCACTGTTAAATCACAGTAAGTTGATTGTTCTTTCAGTTTAAATGAACCACTAAAACTCTTTAAAGTTACCAATGCTCTTCCAACAGAAGCATAAATGAATGACTTAATAAAGGATCACGTGCTGTAACAAGCAGAAATTTCAAAAGCTGTCAATTTTACATATCTTACCAGTTGTAACAGAGCGAAGTTTATCTAATACACCATGGAGCCTAAAAAAACAAAAAACAAAACAAAACCTTCCTTAACAAAAATTTCATTTCAATTGCCACTCTAAATCTAATGACATTACATCGAGATTAGTTCTTTTAACGGTATTTAATGATACTAAACCAAACTTTCCAATCAAACATCATGTTTTCTTTTAAAGGCCTTACATGAATACCAGAATAAAAAAAAATTACTTTTCAACATTTATCTTCTGGAAGACGAGGAGGAGGAAGAGGAAGAGGAGGAGGAGGAGGAGGAGGAGGAGGAGGAGGAGGAGGAGGAGGAGCAGCAGCAGCAGCAGCAGCAGCAGCAGCATCCCCACCCTGCCTCCCCAGGATAGGAAAGACAGCTCAGCAGCATAGCAGCTAGAGTACTAGGAATTGAACCTATAGCCTATGCACACCATGCAAGCACTCTAATGTCATTGATACACACCCACAGCTCTCTTGTTACTTTTTGAGACAGGGTCTAAGTTGCCTAAGCTGGCCTTGAACTTGTGAACCTCTCCCCTCAGCCTCCTAGGTAGCTAGGATTACACTGTGTCAGCAGATCCAAAACAGAATGTTAGAAATGAACACACACAAGGCCCTGGTTCAACCCTCAGAACCAGAACCAAAAAAGACAAAAACATCACCTGACAAGTCTTTTTTTCTTTTTTTTTTTCTTGACAAGTCTTGATTTAAAAAAAAAAAAAAAAACTTGCTTCCTAGGAACTAAAGGTCAAAACAGCTTATAGTAAAACAAGAAAAGTATCTCAAACATATAATACTGCTTATCACAGCAGTCTTGTGTGTGTGTGTGTGTGTGTGTGTGTGTGTGTGTGTGTGTGTGTGTTTTCTCTCTCTGCCGTCCTCCCTCGCCCTCTCTACAGGGTTAAACTAAGGACTATGTATACATGCTAAGCACATAGTCTTCCTATGATCTACACATCCTAATCTAGCAGTTACTATTTTAACTATTTATCTGGCTTCTTGGACAATGTAATTATGAAAGATGAATAAAGTAAATAAAAGAATTTTAAAATATGCTATCCAACTTTACTATAACTCTTATTTTCAAAATTAAGCAAACAGGCTACAACTTTGCTTTAGTATAACCCTTCTTAACAGCTACATAGAAGGCAGTTTTGCATAGCCATCCTTCCAAAATCCCCTCACAAACACCAGAGTTTCCTATTGTTTCATTTAGGCTTCATTCACATGTCAGTTTCCTCATGGACACAATTATTTCAATGTTTAAAAAAAAAAAAAAACCAGGATGGAGTGGGGAGACCTCAGTGTAACACTGTAAAGTTATAAAACTGACAGCAAAAAAAACAAAACCCAAAAAAACACCAGAATAGGGCTGGGCTTGGGGAAGAGGGGAAGGACAGGGGATGGCAGTCACATGACAACACTCGACTTTACACACTAGGTTCAGATGTGACTAACAGAGTAGATTCCCCGAGGCCATGAAGAAGCTGGGTGTTGGAAGCCACCTGTAATACCAGCACTCATAAGGCAGAGGCAGGACCTTGGGACAAGCTGTCTAAATAGACTAAACATAACTGGTGAGCTCTGGGTTCAGTCAGAGACCCCGTCTCAACAAAGTGGGGCATGATCCAGCAAGACACCAGTGTCAAATACAGGCCTACAGATATAAATACACACACACACACACACACACATCTTGTGTATCTACATATGCAAACACATACATATACTAACAAAAAAAAACAAAATAAAAATCAGGATAGTCTGTTTAACACTAGTGAACACTGGTGAAAGGACCAGTGAAGCAATGATTCCTTGCGACAGTACATGTGAAACTGCATTTATAGCAAGATGAGAAACTCATTTTGATTTTAAGTTCAGATTCAGTAAATGGTATACTGGTTTAAGAAATCTGTCTTACACAGTCATGTAATCTGAAAAAGAACCTACCATGTCAACCTTCTGATTTAGATTAGCTGGACTGAAAACCCAAAGTGATCTAAAGGTTTAACCAAAGGCCAGGTCACAACAATGCTTATGAAACAAAACAAATTCTTGGACCACTGACTACTTTAAAAAAGAAGTGTTCACAATCACAGTATAATTTCCTCAGTCAAAAACACCATGAGTATCTGAGAACAAACTATATTAAACAGGGTACATACCCACAATGAAGTAGTGTGTTAATACATAAGGATCACTGTACTCTTAATAATGTCTCCGAAACTGAGTAGTATAAAGCAGAAAATTTGGCACAGATTTTCAAAGTAGTATCATCATATGCAGTTGCCAAAGAGACTATGGAGACTTTCATCAGGAGGCCAGCAGTGAGCAGGCACCACCTCCCCCGGCGCCTCCCTCCCATCAGATTAAGCAGCCTAAGTGCTCACCAGCCTCTGCTCCATCAGCTTTTGCTGCAGCTGATGGGTTTCTAGTCTGTGGGCCCTCTGATGAGTATTTCTATCTGAGTCAGCCATATCATGATCCTTCCCCTTCCTCACTCTGCCTTAAGCCTGACAACCAAAGCTGGCCTTTTTAAACTCAATCATATGCTTATCCTCACCTGAGGGCACATGTGGTTTGATAAAGGGTAGTCCAAATCATGAGTCATTTATATGAAAGAATCAAGTCGCTCATATTCCAAACTGTGAAAAGTGACTGATATGTTTGTCAAATGGGGCCATGCATGTGTCAGAAAAAGAAAAACAGCTTAAAATAAAACCAAAAACAAAATGAAAATGAAACAAAACTTCCCCATAAAAGACAAAAGCCAGCCTACCTCAAAATGTGATGTTCACTGAAAGTGGTTGTGCTTGCTATGCGTGGGATTAGTGGCGATGATGAACTGTAGAAGGTGACAGATACAAACAAGCCTACCATATATCAAGGGCTCCTATGGTGCAGGCATATCTGCATGCACTCTGTATGCACTAGCTAGGTTATCCTCACAATTACATATGCAGGTGATTTACAAGTCCCACTTACAGATGGAGAACCTTCTAGAGACTGTGCTTTACAGTTCACAGCCAGCCTCTCCATGATGAACCTCAGACTCTCTGAGCACCTCTTTCTAGACAGAATACCAACTCTGACTTTGCTCCGAGGCACAGACATTCAGAAACATACCATACGGTGAATCGAATTGTGTTGTTCCCTAGAAACAGGGACAGGTCCTCTGTCATTTGGTCCTGACTTTTCTTGTTGGCCACCATCACCATAATGTAATCAGGAAGTTCTTCATCTATTTAAAAGGAAAAGTATACCAAACTTTTAAATGTTTCCTCAATATTTGTTTTTGCTCAACATCAATGTGCTTGAAAACAGAGAAGTTGATATGAATTATACCTCACTCTAACAGAAGGTACACAAGACAACTCAGCTACCATTTTTCCCCTTTATCCCACAAGTGTTTCCATTTTTAAAAGGCCAGGAACTGGAAAAAAACCGATGCATTTCTAGTCATAAAACTAGGCATACTGGGTCATGCAATCAATTGGGAAAATGGAGAAAGAAATCTTTTTAATGTCAACTTCAGACACTTCTAGAAAGATATATATATATATATATATATATATATATATATATATATATATGTCCCCAATAATTGCATTGTTTAGTTTTCTGTTCAAAACAGTATTCATGTCACTAGAGAATATACTTTTACTCAGTAAACGTAGACTTCCATTACTCCATGTTATAAACTAGAAATATCACACACACTAAAACTATACAAAACTCTATAGCATGTACAATGCCAAGAGTTCAATTATTAGTACCAAAGGATGGAAAAAAGCTGAATGGCAACTCGACTTCATTCATCCTGACAGTGGCAACCCTACACAATGACTGCAGGTAAAAAGACCAAGAACATTTTAATAAAGAAGCAAAGTCAGGAGGAAACCTAATTCTTTTTGAGAAAAGTAGGTGTGTGCGTGTCTGCCTCCATCCCATGGGGGTGCTGCCTTAAAACTCATGATCTTCCTCCGTATGCCCTACCAAACACTGAGACGACTGACAGACACCTCCACACTCAGCCTCAAGCACGTCTTTATTAAAATTCCCTTAACAACTAAAATACTCATAATTTCTACATAAACAGAAAGGTTTATCTGCCAGAAACTTGTTTCAAGGGAAAAACATCTAGGGGCTGGAAAGATGGCTCAACTGTTAAAAGCACTGGCTGTTCTTCCCGAGGACCTGGGTTAAATTCCTAGCACATATATGGCAGCTCAAAACTGTCTGTAACTCCAGTTCTAGGGGATTCAACACCCTCACACTGACATACATGCAGGCAAAACACCAATGCACATAAAGTAAATAAATAATTTTAAAAACAGAAAAGACTCCAAACTCTAATATAGAAGCTGGACAAAAAGAGAAGGCAGTATTTCAAGGAAGCACGCAGTAAGTGAGAAAAGGTAAGTAACAAGTGGTCAATCTTTGTTTTGCTAAAATTTCAAAAAAGCTCCCATTATACTTGTAATAAATAAGCTAATCCTTGTTTATATGTCATACTATGATCCAACACTAGTAAGTCAGGATAAACAGATAAAGCGCTGGTTATTTTTCTTTCACAGTACCAATGAAATGATTGCTGTCACTATATCCATTTGTATTTCCAAAATTTTATAAGATCAGTCAGTGGTTGTCTTGGTATAGAATGGTGACAAGGAAAGGCTAAGAACAGGTTACAAAGCCTGAGTAGCTACTGTAAATTTAGGAAAAGGAGATTATACTTTTTTTTTAAGAGATGCTAATGATTCAGACAATGGATTCTCTGCATAATGTTAGTTAGGCAGTCTCCAGTGAGCTATACCAAGTCCAGTAGACTTATCAAACTGACTGGTGACGTTTTGGGAGGATACACATCAAGACATGCCAAATGCACTTATATACAAACACACTTCAAATATGTGTGACATAAACTATCAATCATTTCTCAGCAAAGTCTTTAAAATTCACATTGTCTTCTCAGTAGACAATACAATGAAAGTTAAGAATCTAATGCAAAATTATCATGTGGTCATAAAATATTCTTCCAGTGTCCAGAGAGATCTCTGAAATACATTCAAATTAGCATACTGGGGATGGCTAGAAGACAACAGTAACCACTGGGAAGGTTCGGAGAAGCTCTCACCTCAAGCATGTGAATGAAAACTCAACTGTCAACAGCCACACTACTGGACTATTCCACCTGAGCACAGCTGAGACTTTCCTTACTGCTTGCTTTAAAGGAAAGGGGTTCTTTTTTGTACCCCACTTTGAAAAATACTCAAATATTTATTGAGGAATTGTTTGCATAACCTTCCAGAGCTCTGGGATTCTTTTTGAGCATAAAGAAATATGAGAAACTGTGACTACTAGTGGGGCGTGACTGTAACCCTATTTATTACCCAGGAGACTGAAACAGGAGGATCAGTTTGAGGCTGGCACAAGCTATATGATGAGAGCAAACCAGCTTGAGTGGCACGGTATGAGACCCCATCTCAAAGAGTAAAATCCTGAAAACAAAAGCCATCTTGTTCTGGACAGTGAAATATATGCATCTACAAAAAAGTAACTAACTACAAACGTAAAAAAAAAAAAAAAAAAAAAAGACTGTCTTACTTCAAAGAGTTAAAGAATGAAGTCTGTTAACTCAACTGACGGATATTAAACTGCAGGCTTTCCACCAGAACCCAACATGAAACTGTGCATCTTAAGGAATGTCCAATTTGGGAGTGTAATGGTGCTAAGAGTTTACAGCGGTCCTAGGTTTAAGCAAAGACGGAGGAGGAAAGGCGGGGCCATAGAAGAAAAGTCTGAGAAGCAGCAGAAGGGAAGAAGCTGATCAAATGTGAAGACTCGTTGGCACTCCACAAAGACTCTGGTTCTCATGCATACTTAAGGACTTTTACAAAGTTTAACACAAGCACCAAGGACCCCAAACCTGAGCTCCCAAGCATCACTCTGCTGACCACCTCTACCTCAGCTCTCTCCACATCTGCTTATTTATAAAGAATAGTAATGCTGTCACCCATCCCAGCAGTATTTTCAGAAAGAAGCACAACTATAAGGGAATGTTTTAAAAACTTAAAAATCTCTTAGAATTTCTGAAATTGGCCGGGCGGTGCATACGCCTTTAATCCCAGCACTTGGGAGGCAGTGGCAGGCAGATTTCTGAGTTCGAGGCCTGCCTGGTCTACAGAGTGAGTTCCAGGACAGCCAGAGCTATACAGAGAAACCCTGTCTCGAAAAACCAAAAAAAAAAAAAAAAAAAAAAATCTGAAACTCAGTGACAGACAGGACTGAATGTATCTCAGTGACACACATGGATGTTACCCTGGCCATCAACTAACACAGTTATACATGTGCAGTGGACATCTCACAGCTGACACTAAGTATTAAAGAAAAAACAATTACAATGAACACAATTGTGGTTCAACTCCATTTTCATAACCATGAGGAGTCTTACATCAATCCTGAAATAACCTAAAATCCACCTACCGTCATGTATGAACTAGTAATTCTTATCTTGTTCAGTCTCAGGTTCCCTCTGATTGATATGAACTACTAATATTAACCATATGAATTCAAAATGGAGAATTTTTAAAGGATTTAATTATCAGTGTACAAATTATAGGCTAATAGCCAAATTATATTAATTTAATGGTTTTTCTAGAAGCTAAAGTTTCCCAGACAAACAAAATCCACAGTTCTGAGGATGGCCTTGTTTTCTACTTCCATAAATGTCTTTTATACTGTGTCTAGAAGACAAGTGAACTCTAATCTGTTTTCTGCATTTAATCTGTGATAAAGTTGTTTAATACTGAGGAATGTAAAAAAAATCTAGTCCCATAAATTATGTACTTTAGAGTATTTTAATAGCTTTTCTAGACCTTGTGGATATCCTTCTATGATACTACACTGAAACTCAAGCAGTAATTTATTAGCAATAAAGACACCAACTACTCGAAAAACCAAAAACAAAACAAAAAAAACCACCAACTAACTCTTTGTACTGTTACAAGAAAATCCACCCATACAACCGCCTTTTACCTTGGCATAATGTAATGTGTAGTGGTCACTTAGAAAGTGCTAGTTCCGCTGGGCGGGCGGTGGTGGCGCACGCCTTTAATCCCAGCACTCGGGAGGCAGAGGTAGGCGGATTTCTGAATTCGAGGCCAGCCTGGTCTACAGAGTGAGTTCCAGGACAGTCTGGGCTATAAGAGAAACCCTGTCTTGTAAAACCAAAAAAAAAAAAAAAAAAAAAAAAGTTTTCCACTACTATGATAAAACACTGTGACCAAAAGGTACTAAAAGGTACTTAGTGAGGAAAGTTGTTTATTTCATCTTACAACATATGGTCCATCATCTGGGAAATTAGGTCAGGAGCTCAAGGCAGAAACCTGGAGGCCGGAAGGAATGCAGAGACCATGGAGGAGTGCTGCTTACTGGCCTACTCTGCCTGCTTTCTTAAAGCACCCAGCTACACCAAAACAGGGTACCATGCACAGTAAACTGGGCCCTCTCATTTCAATAAATCCCACAGGCCAATCTGGTAGTGGCATTTACTCCACTGAGGTTCTTTCTTTGCAAATGACAATAGCCTGTGTCAGGCTGACACTTCACAGCAGCTACTTTACTGGAAATCACTAATGCCTTTTCTTAAAATAATTGTATCAGCTCAGTACATGACTACTTTACAACCACTTCCCTGCTCTCACAATCAAAATACTAAAAAGTGTAGTTTTTTGTTTTGTTTTTCTGAGACAGGGTTCCGCTGTATAGCTCTGGCTATCCTGGAACTCACTCTGTAGACTGTAGGCTGGCCTTGAACTCACAGACACACCTGCCTCTGCATCCAGAGCTGGAACTAAAGGCATGGGTCACCACCTCCCAGCTGAGAAGCCAGTTTTAAAAACATTATTTTATCTGTCTCATCGATAACATTCTAGATGGAACCTTTTTTTTTTGTTTTGTTTTTCGAGACAGGGTTTCTCTGTGTAGCCCTGGCTGTCCTGGAACTCACTCTGTAGACCAGGCTGGCCTCGAACTCAGAAATCCGCCTGCCTCTGCCTCCCAAGTGCTGGGATTAAAGGCCTGCGCCACCACCACCCGGCTGGAACTTTTTTTTTTTAACTACAATAATTTGACCAAGAGTTCTAGTAAAACCTGGTAAAGAGTTCTAGTAAAACCTTTTAAACTCACTGCTGTCATATAATCCAAGTGTAAGCACCGTGTAATGTCAAGTCTTCAAACTATCATGAAAACAAGTTTGACTCCAGAGGTCAGTAAGGGTCCTAGACCCTGAGTTACTATCTTAAGGCACCCATGATTTACACCCGAAGCCACCATCAGTGGAGTCAGACAGGTGTCTTCCCCCAACCCTACTCAAGTACCCAAAGCCTTTGTTTCTATTTGTACAACTGGGATATTATCATTTACATTTTAATGACGAGTTTTATTTTAGATGTGTAATAGCTAAATACTGCCTAGCCCAGAGTAAACACTCGTTCTGGGGGTGGTGGGGGAGGAATGAGGCAAATATGAACTCACCATTTTCAGGTTCGAGTAGGAAGTACATTAAAAAAAAAAAAAAAACTTAAACCATAAAACTTACTGAACCAGCTCTGTGGAAAATGCCAGAAGCATCAAACGTTCATATCCAAAATGAGAGATCTCAAATTAAAGGTCATGACGAAAATAACAACAGGAAAAACAGAACAAGATTCGGACAAACATGGGTGAAAAAAACGACACCTTCGGCAGAAGGGGGGAAAAAAAAAACCCTAGACTGTTTCAAAATAACATCTTAGACAGGAGATGGGGGTGGAGGAAGGGAACTCGGGGTGCTGCTATAGACGGTTCAATGAAAGGGGGGTAGAGGAAACCTGGGATTTCAAGGTAGACCACCCAAAGAGCTTTTGGGCAGAGTCACTCAGACATCAGTCAGTTACAAGCCTGACATTATACTGAGGCGAATGACGAGTATCAACTTACCCACGTAAGCTCCTAATTCTTGTAATTTCCCCTTAATGGCACTCTGAGGGAGAGAGGGAGAAAAAAAAAAACAGCAAATGTCTGTGAAAACCGCGACGGTGAGAGAGCGAGCGGCCCCCCGCCCCCGGGAGGTTGGGGGAAGGGACGCCCGACCCCCGCGCCCTGCTTCCCGCAGCCGCCGCCCCGGTAGCTCTCACGGGCCCGCCGGCGTCCCCCGAGCCGACCGCCGCGCCTGCGCTCCGTCAGAGGCGGCCCGCGCGCGGAGGAGACGCGGCAGGCCAGGCCCACCCGCCCCGTTACTCCTGGCAACCGCCTGCCCGCCATGCCCAGCGCCCGCCGACGCGGGCCTCACCCGGATCTTGCGGCTGATCTCGGTGCCGATTTCCATGGCTCGGCGGCGGGCGGCCGGGTCAGCACTGCGCGGCGCTTCGGTTACCTGGAGCCCGCCGCGGGCAGCCACCCTGCAGCCTGGCCCCCCTACGCCGCCGCTCCGCCTCCGCCGTGCGCGTCCCCGCCCCTGCTGGCGCCCCCGTGCAAGTGGGAGCCAGTGCGCATGCGTCTGCGCATACGCATGCGCGCGCGTCCTGGGCAGGGGGTGGGGTCCGGAACCTGTGCTCTGGCGACCACTGCTGGTCGCGCAGAGGACAATGGCCTGCGGGTTACCTGGTTTCACCTTGCCCTTTCTAAGAGTTGGGAGCCTTCCTTCTTCCCTTTCATGGTTTCTCATTTGCGAATTTTAGTCTGCAGGTAGTCAGGATGAAGTAATGTATAGCTCAAACATCATGGGCCATGATCTGAGTTCAAATCTAACCTCACTCTGGGACTGATATATATCGTCAAATGACCAAAAAGAGATTATTTTCTAAAAGATGTACTATTATTACACTTGGTGAGATGGAGGGGCAATATTCAAAACCCATGCAGCATGACCTTACTTTAATTCTAGAGGGATTTTTGTTTGTTTGTTTGTTCTTGTTTTTTGAGACAGGGTTTCTCTGTGTTGTCCTGGAACTTGCTCTGAAACTCATGCTGGCCCTGGTTGGACCCAGTGATCCGCCTGCCTCTGCCTCCTGAGGGCTCCCAGCTGCAGGTAACAAGAGTGGCAGGTGTCACCCTCTAGCGTTAACAACACCCTATAGCGGTCCGGTGTGACTGGGAAGTGGAGCCTTCCTAGTGTTAGAGTTGGTGCGCAGGCCTCGGATATTGGGTCTCAGTCCTGAATGTATTAGAGCTCCTTGGGCCTAGAAGATGGGCTTACAGCTCTCAGGCTCAGCTGGGATTGCAGCTTCCTACAGGTCCTAGGCATTGGGACTTCTCAGGTCATGGTGGCAGCCAGTGATACAGCTCTCAGTCAGGTGCCTAGCACACTTGGCCTTGAAGACCTGACAATTCTCTTAAATTCTTGTGACCAGGGTCTGCAGGTTCTGTTCTCCAGCACATCATTGTCATTGCATTTTACTCTTGGGCTCTGAGCCTCTTGTTGCTCCTCTCGGCTTCTTACCTTACCCTGGCCACTGATGTTTTGTTTTTTGTTTTTTTTTTAACCCTAGCCCCTCTTGAACATCTCTCTCCCTCTTCTATCTGCTGCCTCTCTTTGGATCCATACAGCTGCAAGTGGGTCAGAAAAGAGAGCTTGAGAGAAGCCTCTTGTTAAGCCTGCTGTTGTAACCATTGGGGAAGCTGCTGTCGAGAGTATCCCCCAGGCCAGACTGCTGTCTGCTTAGGTAGCTCAGAATGGGATGTTTGGATTAATCACAGCTATCTGTTTTGGCCAAGCCCAGCCATATGTTGGACTAATCAAAGCTTTGCCTCTTAGCATCAATTACAGCTATCTCTCAGCTACACCACAAAGAGAAGAGCTCGCCCTCTGGCCTAGGAAGAAGTAATTGCAGGTTTGTTTGAAGTTCTTCAAGGTTCGGGATCACGAACTATCAGGTACAAAATCTTTCCAACAGCCCTTGTTGGAGCCGAGCATTCAGGAGCTGGGATGATCAGATGGACTGCAGTCTTTGTGTAGTTGTTTCGAGGTGTCCGTGGAATACCCAGGACTGTCAGTGCTGGTCTAAGAGCAGTCTGGCTGTCTGCTAGACTCCTTCATTTAAGGCATCCAGGGCAGCAAAGGAGAGTTTAGTGGCTGCTAATAGGTGTTCAGATTGTTCAAACCCTAACAGCTCTGCTGGTTTATAGGAAAATGAGCATCAGAAGGCGTGCTCACAATACAAATGGAAAGAACTTGTTCCTTGCAGTAATTTTAACAGATCTGAAAGTTCTTTTTTTTGTTTGTTTGTTTTGTTTTTTTGTTTTTCGAGACAGGGTTTCTCTATGTAGCCCTGGTTGTCCTAGAACTCACCACTGCCCGGCATGCCTAGCTTCTTAAGAACTAGTTTCTAGCCGGGTGTTGGTGGCGCACGCCTCTAATCCCAGCACTTGGGAGGCAGAGGCAGGCAGATTTCTGAGTTCGAGGCCAGCCTGGTCTTCAGAGTGAGTTCCAGGACAGCCAAGGCTACACAGAGAAACCCTGTCTCGAAAAACCAAAAAAAAAAAAAAAAGAACTAGTTTCTACTAGTCAGCTCTTGGTGCATAACCAGAGGCCACAGGTTTAGCAGTTTAGGACAGACATGTTTCTTGTCTTGCAGGTTTCATCAGTTAGCTGTGTGAGCACAACTTGCTTGGGTCTTCAGCTCAGAGTGTCAGCAGGCCTCAGCAGAGGTGGTAGACAGGCCGAATTTCCATCTGGAACTTAAGGAAGAATTTCATTCCAGGTGCATTAGCAGGAAATGATTTCCTGGGGTCTTTGTGAGCAAACGCTCCATCTCTTTTTGCCAGCTATGGTCTAGAAGCTGTGTTCTTGTCCTAGAAGATGGCTCACAGTTCCATGCCAAGAGCCTCACCAATATGGCTGCTCTCTTAATTTAGTGAAGATAAAGATGTCCCCCCTCCCCCTTCACCCCCCAGCACATCTTGGTTTCTCTGTTAAGGACTTTTGTCTCATTCAGTTGGGCTCAAGTGAGTTAGGACCTTTTTTTTATATCTCTGTAATCCCTTGTCTTCACCATATCCATTAGATAAAGTAATCTACACTCCCAGGAATTACAGAAGAAATCACAGAGCTGCCCTGGATCTGGCTGCCATAGGCCCCTTGACCCATAACCATTCTTCCGATATCTGTAAGAAAATGAATATGATACCTTAGGTTTTCTACTGTAACTATCGATTAGATGCCCATCCTCCCTAGGAAAATGATAGACTGAGTGCCATGTGTCTTTTATATGTCTACAGAAGTTCTTTCAGGATGGGAGGCACACAATAAACATTTATCAAGTACCTGTGGGTTAAAAGAAATCAAAGAGTTGCTTTGCGAAAGCATTTCTCCTGGGTGAATTCAGTGACCACAGAGTCATGAAACATGGATGAGACACAGAGGGACAGGTGACAGGGAGCAGGGACTCTGGAGCCAGGACGTCTGGGCTGGAGTGCAGCTCTGCCACTCTCTGAGACCTGAGGCAAGGAGCTTCTTTTCTTTGTGCCTCAGTTTCCTCATCTGTAGCACAGACAGGACAGTTTTCCCCTTCAACAAGTTCTTATAAGGTAGAGGTAAGTTAATATTTGCAAAGCGTTTTGAGCTGTGCCTGGCTCACAGCAGCGTTATGTCTGTTGATTAAAAATTAAATGTCTCCACTGAGCCAGACACCGTGTTTGGAGCCAGAGCACACAGATGAGCAGGCCTAAGTCTCTGTGCTCATCACACAGTTCAAAAACCAGGTAAGTTTTGTTTTTTCCTACTCTTTTACCCACCATTCCATAGCCAAGAACAGGCACACGTTTTACCGTTATTATACCTTAAACAGATAGGCATTTAACAATTTAGTTACTACTGAAAAAAACTTGTGTAAAAAAGAAAGCACCAAGAGCATTTTCATTAAAAGATATTCAGAGGCCTGCAGAGGTGGCTCAGTCAGAAAAGTTTGTACATAAAGACCTGAATAACCCTAGCACCCACATGAGGAAGCCAGGCATGGGGTTTTGTGCCTGTAATCCCAGAACTCGGGGGCTGGAGATCAGAGGATACAAAGGGCTTGCTGGTTAGCTACTCTAGGCAAATCAGCAACTCTAGGTCCAGTGAGAGGCCCTGCCTCAGAAATAAGATGGAGAGCAATTGACGAAGACATCAACACCCACTTCTGGCCTACATACACGCACTCACTCACTCAAAGTCAGGTACTGTGGTAAGTGTCTATGGGTCCTTGGGAAGCTAGGGTAGGAGTGTCATGGATTTAAGACCAGCATGGCTACCTAGCAAGGTCTTTTTTTTTTTTTTAATTCATAACAAGGAATTTATTTAAAGGTATTGAAGACATGGTTCTCTTTTAGACAACCAGCTTATAATTCTGGAACAGGGACGTGCAGGCTATTCGAGAACTCAAACACATTCAGATCTCAGATGAAGAGGAGTCTGAGTCATAGAGTACCCCCACTAAGCCAATGGCACTTAGGGGTTGGAGGCTTTTCAGGGTGTTTTTCTGTAAGATGCAGCTTCACAATACATATCCTTGAAGGGCTGGAAGTATTAGTCTTACAAAAGAATAAAGTGCCCCATGACAAATGGCATATTTTTCTTCTAAGGGATACTATGAGAGCCAGATCACAATGAACTACAGTGCCAGCTAAGAGGGTTCTTGGCTACCTTCCAAATAGAGGAGGGAACTGAGAAAGAACATTGGTCATGAAGTTAGCAGAGCCTGAGTGCCAACCCCAGCTCTACAAAGCTCTAAGTCCTGCTAACAATGGGAGCCCCTGTGCCTCCAGCCTCCCCCGGACTACACTTCAGTTGGCTTTTATGCCCTGCCCTCCTCTGTGTGTATGCGTGTGTGTGTGTGTGTGTGTGTGTGTCTGTTATCAGTCTCTGTGGAAGGCTAGAGGTGGTGGTTTTTTCCAAGCCTGGAATGCTTTTCTTTTCCTCCGGTATTTAGTGACCTTGTATTTGTCTTTCTAGTTTCAAACAGAGGGTTCTCACAATGATTAACTAAGCATTATCAATCCATTTGGGTTATACCTTTGTGTAAATTTCCTTACTTACAAAATCATACCTTCACCTATTGTTCATGAGATGAGTCCCTGAGAGGGCAGGGGCATACATCTTATCTTTTTCCAACACCTGGCTTCTAACACATATAGAGTGAATAGATGTTTTTCTTCAGTACCGACTATCAAATGGCCTGTCTGCCTTTGGATCAGACTCTCTATATGCTGGGAACCCGATGGGTAAAGTCATTTGTTTCCGGTGATGCAAGTCTGGATACCGGAATTCAGTCTCCGGAATCAAAGCAAAGGTAAAAGGAGAGAACCAATCCAAACAGTTGTCCTCCTACCTCTACACATGCAACATGGCACCCCTCCACCACCACCAATAACCATAGATTAAAAAATGTTTTAAAAGAACCATTTCGTAC